TGGCGATGAGCTAGGCCGAATCCAGCCTTTCTCTAGAAGGTCGTCGAGTTGTGCCCGAAGCACACTTAACTCTTCCTCGCTCATTCGGTAGATGCAACCGCGCGGAGGTACGGCCCCGTCCTCGAGGATGATCTCGTGGCGGATGGGTCGATCCGGTACTACTCCATGCGGGTCTTCGAACACGTCGGTGTAGGCGTCGAGAAGTTCGGTGATGCGTGGAACCGAAGGTGAGTCTGTCGATGAAGCGTCATGTGGCGGGAGGGCGTGGAGAAAACACACCCCCATCTCCTCGATGTCGTCTCTGATGATGGAAGCTCGCATGCTTGAGGTGGATACCACGTGGCAGCTGATCGAAGGATGAGGAAGAGGCACCGTGCATGGAACTAATAATCCGTTCCGGTCACGAACGTGAACGGTGTGGTTGACGAAGTTCACCGGGTGATCCTTGCTTCGCAGCCATGACATGCCCAAGATCATGTCGAATTTGGTGTCCAGAATGTCAAAGGACACCGCCTCACTTGCGTGAGGGGCAAAGTACACTGGGACGGCCTCAATGCACCGGTCTATGGACTTGTGCGTATGACCGTCTGCCAGGGTGACTTGCGTAGGCTGGGACTTCCTCCGGACACGTGGGCCAAGGCCGGCGCGTACCATGAAGTCCTGGCTGATGTAGTTGCGAGATGTTCCGCAATGGATCAAGGCACTGCAGGTCGCCTCTCCGATCTGAATGCGTATGTATAGCAATGGTGCGTCGATGTCGTCGTACCGTTGCGTCTTGAACTCGCGGTCGATCTTCGCGATGAAAGCGTGAAGGTCTGCGTCTTGAACTCGCGGTCGATCTTCGCGATGAAAGCGTGAAGGTCGACAACCTCTGCTCCGGCGTCCATCAACGAAGCTGGTACTGCAGTGTGCAAGTAGTCGCGCAATTGTGCCATAAGCACGTTGCAATGCGGTTTCGGCAATCGTCCGGTCGAGGGAACGGGCATCCACTGGAAGTCYGTGAACGTCAACGGATCGAGCTCATCAAGTCTTGACCATGACGTCGAATCCCCGGCGATAGGTTGCGGCGAAGCTGCCGAATCGGTTGSCGATGGTGATGAAACCGTGCATGCGGTGGACTGTTGCACGTGGAGCGGTTGGTCCAGTCGTGGAACCAAGTGGACAGCATAATCCTCGTAAGTATACCGAGGACTTGCGACATTCGCATCCTCCCCAGATGTGCAGGAGGCCGCTAGCAAGGCGACCGAATCTGGCGGAGTAGAAGGTGGAGTCGCCTCACCTTCCGCGGAGCTCAGTTTCCCAGGCTGAGGCGGGGTCGCACATCCTCCTTGCCCTGATCTTGGCACAGGGAGGTCTTGTGCTTGGTCTTGTTGCACCAATAGCAGCTGCCGTAGCGGCCGCGGACTTTGTACTCCGCCTCGGTCAAGCCAAACTTGACCCATGGAAATTGTCCTGGCTGTCCATTTCCGGCCTGCGATGCGGGTTTCGCCTTCACATTGTTACGGGACTTGTTGGTGCTTCACGGCTGGACAGCGGCCACCTGATCTCCGTCACTTGATGCTGGAGTGGCTGCTGTGTTATTTCCACTGTCCTGCTGGACTGCAGCGAAGTGCTGCTGTCGCGGACCAGTTCGTGCCTTCTCCACATAGGTCGGCTGCCATGTTGATTTCTCGTGTGCAGCTGACCTGTTGGTCTTGATGATCTCCCTCGCTTTGTCAATGATCTCCGCGAAGGTTGAGTACTGCTCGCGATCACCAAGAGYCTGGCTYAATKCYRCAHAGRACCTGTTGTAGAACTCACGGCGTAGATGCTCGAATGGTAGGTTCAGATTGGGCACAGCCGCAATCTTCTGCCACTCGTGAGCCAGTCCCGTGTTGCTGTGTTGCCCTGTGACATGGTGAACAAACGGTTGATGGCGAGTGCCGGCGCGTCGTCGACGATGAACCGCTTTTTCCACAGCCGTGTTAGTTCYTCCCATGTGATTACGTCCTTCAAGTCTGGTACGTCGACGCCGTGGGAGGTTGCCAGGTGGCTCAACCAGGTCTGGCATCCGCCCTTTGAGTTCAGGAACAGGGCGCCGATGTACGCATGCTTGGCTACTGGCAGAATCCTGAGTTGCGTTGTGAAAGCTTCCCACCRGAGGACGGGATCCTGCTGCGTGTAGTCGTCGAACCACTCCAGGTTGAAAGTTGGCATGTTGTACATCTTCGGATTGCCGTCCGCGTTCGTCGACTGCAGCTTCTGGACCTCGGTCTTCAATGTATGCAGCTGACTGCTGATGGTGGTGGTCGGCGCAGCGAAGGTGCTGATGTCGCCGAGCATTGCCACTACGTGGTCAACGCGGTCCTCCAGTTGGCGGCTTGAGGGTGCACTGTTGGAAGCTCCAGCAGCTGGTCGAGGTACAGCCTGTTCCAGGTCCAACAATCGGGCATTGAGTGCCCGAGTTGCATCGGAGCGTCGCCAATTCCTGATGCTGTCTCTCCACCTCTGACCTTTGGTAGTTGCAAGCATACAACAACCGCGTCACGAGTTTGGAGAGGAACTCCTTGTGCTTTTCTTCCGGTGTTGCGTCGTC